TTCTCTCTGTGTAAGTGCGCCAAATTTCAATGATGGAATGAAGATGTCACGATCTTCATCAAATACGGACGAACGAGTCGAAATAAATTCGGTCATTGAACGTGACAGGGCGTTGACGAGGAATGATCGTTCCGAAAAGAAAAGTGAGTCGATTTCCTGCGAAAGAAACGGAGGTGCTCTCAAACAAATCGGTGACTCAAGACTCAGGTGAGACTGATCAGCAGATCGGAACGCTCGCCTTCGCTTTATACGTGTATACGATTCCCGAAACACGCGAATCTGTCGGCCGGGGCTCTCACCGCAATCTTCCGACAACGGGCCGTAAAAAGAGCGATCCGGACAAAACGCGTCATCGCACTCGGCGCAAAACCCGCCGGTTTCAGGTGCAGCTTTCACATTCTCGCGCGTCCCGACACCGACGAGAAGGCATTGCCCTACAGGTGCGATGCTCGTCCACCTTCAACCGACCCGACTGACGCGACGACGTGGCGTGCGAATTTTTCCTCGAATTATTTTCGTCAATTTTTATGCTCGGTTTCACCAGCTTTCCACGAAGCGAGGCATGCGCCATCGGTTAAGTTTTTAACGACTCTTACACGCAATTTGTTTCGTCGAATAATAGTCATTAATCATCTTAAATACATTAACCATCTTTTTAAAAGATTTTTCTTTCTCAATAAATTGAAAAGGGAAAAACAGAGATTTAATATTATCTCGGAGGGAGAAAATTAACTTGTACAACTGGAAAAAGCTAGCATCATAAGAAATATCAAACTGATGAAAAATAAGCTTGTATCATCATTAAGCATCCACGTTGTTATCGAGATCTCGATTTTAGAGTTCAAAGGGTTAATACGAAAATTGTAATAATAGTACTGATGTGGTACTAACTCAGGCTCAATAGATTATCGACTCGGGTATGTTCGGATATGCGATGTGAGCAGATAGAACGTGCGAAACGCGGAACGCGCACCGCGGCGCGACGGCAATCGCCGCAATTAATCTCCACCCAACCACATAATTTCCTGAAATAACGATTCCCAGGCGAATTAATTACCGCCGCCGCGGCAAATAAGGTAATCGCCCCGCGCGCGATGACAAAAATACAGGGGCGTTGGTCCCTTCCTCGCGGATGACGCGATCTCGCTCGCGTCGCATTCTCGCGCAAGTGCAGCGATGCATCGCAGGTGCATCGTTTACAGAAGCCGCCAAGTGCTTCTCTCCGTTGCATCACCGCGGACGACCGCGACTATCGTCGCACGTTGCAAAAACATAATTTACGACGATGCAACATGGGACGAAAAGTGCCACATTCTGAATCTTTCTTCCTTCCTCTCTCTCTTTTTTTTTCACAATTTTGAAATCGCCAGTCGTCAAAATAATAAGAATGTCGGATGGGCAACGATGGAAAAAGCCCGAAGTTTCTTTGACCAAGTGTTAATGAAAGAGAAATTTTAAACCGCTCTTCTTCTTAAGATCTCTCCTCGACAGATCATTTATATTAAGCCTCGCAGGTTGTTTCTATCTGTCGAGAAAATCGAATTTGAATTTGTTAACACTGTAGTAATAAATAAAAAGATTATTTTGAATGAAGAATAATTATTTTCTCTTTCACCTTGTATCAATAAATATAAAAGCGTCGCAAGAAATAAGTTTTCCAAAATAATTTCGAAAAATTCTCTGTAAAGTTGATCTCGATATACTATCACGAAAGAGCAAGGAAGCAACATGGGAAGAATTGTTGTTGTCTTGTCAACGGTTCCACCTTCTCGAAGAATTCCCTTGAAGCCGCTGAATAGAGATAAATAAAGCAGAGGCGCTCTGTTATTTCCGTAAAGAGGAAAAAAGAATGAGGGAGGAGATTAAAGAAGAGAAGAAGATGTAAAGAGATGGAGAGACAGATATACGTCTCCAGGTGCGCGATTGCTTCTAATTGCCTCCCTCGATGGTTCCGTGGTGCCTCCAAAGTGAAATTACAGCAGCGTAAGCTACGCGAAGAGGCGGAGGCGCGATGGATGCGAGGTTCGAGTAAAAAGAGCGTGCGACGTGTACACGACGAAGAAGATGTGGAAGATCGGTCGTGATACTCGCCTCCTCCTCGAGAACGGCGAGAACGATCCCGAGAGCGTTTTCACTAATTAACCCTGCGGTCCGCCACGCCGCAAACGTGCGCTTTTGTATCGCGCCGAGAAACCCGCATCACCTTTATGGCGCTAAAATTCGGTAAACGTTTCTGCGGTAAATCTTCACGCGGAATACAAGGCACGGCCTGTGTACTTCCTTCAGAGAGATAAACCAGTTTCGCCCGTACGGGACTGACGTTCTTCCCGAAGTTCAATCGAGTTATGGTATCGCTTTATTACACAAGCATCGCACCGTCATGGTTATTCGCCGATTGGCGATCATAATATCATCAATTAATGTTAATGACATGGATATGTTAGGTACTGCTCCTCGCTTTGATTTTCAAACAAATTTTATTGCTTACTTTGACTGGTTTAATATAAAGTAGAATCATTTTGTCAAATGTCAAATTTCTTTTTCTCTCTCCAGTCAGCCTCTATCTTTCATAAATTAAAAAAATATAGATTTCTTACAAAACAAGTGGCAAACTGTATTACATTTCATTTATATTCGTCTTAATCAGAACACGCGTTAACCTCAGTAGAAGATATTTAAATAGCAATTGTCTTTAATGATTGCAACTGCGAAATTTTTATTATTGTTACGCACGATTAATCTCGATTTCCCTCGAAAAATCTCGATAAATTCTATCTGCTGAGTACGAAAAGTCGCATCTGCGACGGAGATGTGTCTTAATCATGTTCGCGTCGAAAAAAAAAAAGTTGGCCAGTCACGGAGGGTTTTTTTCTCGAAATGATCATCTTCGCGAATCGCGACCGACGGCCACGGCGAATAATAACCGATAATCATTAAATGCGCTTATTAAAATAAAATAAAATATAAATCGCATATCGGAGAAGGTCTACCGTCGCCGCTCCGCTTAAAACGTCACTCCGGTCGGTCGGGATAAAAAATGAAATATAAACGTAAGAGAGATCATAAGTCGCTACAATTAATATCCAACAGTCCGCAATAACCTTTCTCTCTCTCTCTCTCGATACAAGATCCCCGAACATGAACACGATTTACCGCGAGTAGAGGAAGAGAGAGAGAGAGAACGAAAGGGCTAGAAGGGTAAGACTAAGGAAAGGGAAGAAAGAGAGAGAATGGCAAAGCGAGAATACGAGAGCCCGATTTTTGCGACGTTTTTGCCGTTTTTGCCGCACGGCAACTTTGTTATTGATGATCGCGCGATGTTGAGTGCACAGAATAAAGAAGGTGGGCGTTTCCACCCTCGGTTATTTCGCCTCGCGAATCCCGCGCAACGATCTCCGCGCCGCGAACATTTTTCACTTTACGAGGCCTGTATTGCTTGCGAGGCCTGGCGCAGCCTCGCAGAGGTAGTAACGTCGCCGCGATTCGAAGCCCGTATACCGGCCGCTCGTCGCGTCGTCTTGTAAAAGTCAATATTTATGAGGGTGCTAACCACCGTCATCGCTCATCCTGACTCGTTAACCGGCTCTTCGCCCCCTTTCCTTTCCCACCCCCGCGCGGCTTTGTGTTTACATCCGAAGGACAGACATCCTCTCTTTATTGTCAGCCCTAAAGAAAACATGTCCACACGTGGCTGGATTCTGCTGCCGTTGCTGCTGTTGAATGCGATCTTGGTACATGCCTGTAGTGCCAGAGATCGCATTCGCGCTTATAGTATATCGGCACATTCGTATTTCCAGCCACCATTGTACGTATTTTCTGCCACGTTTTCCAATAATATATATGCCAATGTTTTATAATAATTAATAGTGTCTTAATAATATTGTATTTAAAATTAATTTCTTAATCCGCATATTGCAAGCTTAAACAAATGACCAATATAGTACTGTCTAATTTAACTTCATTAAAAGTTTCATTATCATGTTGGCTAAAAAATACGATTATGCACGAGATCAGATCATTCTGTTATATTATTTCAAATAAAGTATAATTCAAAGTATAATTTTAATTATTTTAAATTATGTTTATTTATTATCTCTCCTCCATATAATTTATATTTCATTTATTATATTATATTTCTCGGTATTGTATTTTTATTTTAAATAGGACAATTAGATTGACGCGTGATTGTACGTGCGTTTTTCTCGTTGCTATATACAGATTCGCGCACTTTCTCTCGATTGTGGTTTCAATATTGAAATCTCTGATAATCTCCAAGTAATAAACGAATAGAATGAAGGAACGATTTTTATGCATTCAATTTTAAAAATGATAATGGATATTACTAATGAAATATTTTTATTCTCGATTAATTTCATACGTGAAACTAGATATTGCTTTTTACTAAAATTTTAATTTAATAAAGAGTTTAATTACTAAAGTATTTCTTATTAAAAAATATATTAAAAAATTTGATTTACTTTGACAAATAAAAAAAGAGAGATAAAACATAGAAAGAAGTTCATCTGCCAAATGTTAATCGACCAAATTTATGGCAGTTATAACATTACATTCGATTATTCAATATTTATTACCTTGAATTACTCTCTTTTGAAAAAGTTACAGTAGCTCACGCTACTATAATTATGACGGACAGAGCAAGACAAACTGTTTCGCATAGAGGCAACAGGTATGGGTATGAATCAACAGGTGTATAGCAACAGGTGTGTAAAGTTGAATTACGTGTCGCCATCTTTCATGAGTTGTTCAACGCGCCTTGCATCTAGAGAGTCCGTCGATAAGAATGTATATTCAGTAACGTATAGTACGAATCATAGAGAAGATCCCGCCTTTCCATTTATTTTTATATTCTGTCAGAATATATTTTACGATTTAATTAATTAAATAAAAAAATGTTGCTTAAAAAATGTATAACTTTGTATAACGCCTTGAATTCAATAATCGATTTTGTGACGTAAGCATAATTAACGTCATTGACTTACCCTTTGGCAGTGCTCCGCGCTGACCCGCGATAGATCTGCGAGGGGTTGAAAGATGACGTCGTGAAATTCGGGATAATTTCGTGCCAACGGACGTGCGTACAATTCTTTGGCGCTGCACAATGTTTCGTGATATTCTTCTTCCGCATGTAACAGCTTTTCCGTGGCTCTGTACCTGCGATCTGTATCTGTCAAGCAATACCATTTCGAAGTTTCAATAAGGCTTTAATCGATTACTTTCTTCTCGCATACAAAAAATTTGTCGCACATAAAAAGATGTCAAAAGAAATCACGTATATGTAAGAAAATAAAAATTTTCCATGGAAATATAAAATAAAATTTTACGACTCTTAGCTTCAAGAAATTACAAAAATTATAATTCAATAAATTCATATTATAAATGACGTTTTTCTTTTAAGTCTTCGACTCGTAATTTAATAAAAATTTTCTGTTTTGTTCTTTTTCTATATAATTCCTCACAAAATAAAAATGAAAAATTTTTTATGAAATATAAAACCGAAAAAAGATTAATTACCTCCAATCGCATCGTACTGTCGGGCAAAGTCCTCGATAAGTAAAACTTCGCCGTGTAGAAGGGCTACATCGGCTGCGGGATCGACCTCGGCCCTCGAGCCTGCAAGCAGCAATCGAGGTCTGCATACTCGATATTTCAGAAGTATCGGAGCGACCACGGAAGAAATTGCTCCGGGCGATGAGGCTGATAACTGCAACAATAAAAATAGATTCAAGTTTATAACTCATAAACAACCATTTTTGCATTAAGTTATTATATATTATACTACATAAAAGCTATTACGAGCTCTTGGAATAAATTAAACCTTAAAATATATTTTAATAATTATGAATTAAATGTTGGAAAAGCATTGAAAAATATTGATATAATTAACAGATTGCTTTCTTGAATGAGAATGAGATCTTGATATACATATTTCAAAAGTATTGAACTCATTTTACAGTTAGAACATTTTACAAATTAAATATTAAACGATTCCAAAAATTATACGTGTACATAGTACTTATATAATAATACTTTATCAAATAATTCAATAATAATAATTTGTCAAACTTTCAAATAGAATAAAGTATTAATCGTCATTATAGAAATTAGCCAAAATAATAAAAGCATATTTTGTTTAATCAAGAAACTTGCTTATATCAAGAATCTATTTAGTGAATGATTTATACGGAAAAGACTGGTCCATCCAACAGAGGGTTCGGAATGTTCTAATTACACGACGGGAGAACGATCGCCTTAAAAAGTGTCGGATGTCAGGGCGGATCCCATAACTTTGCACAGTAGCTTCGACTGGCTAATCCCCGAAATCTTGCTCGCTATGGTAAAGAACGCGAAGACAGCGCATAATTAAAGCGCGCGGTATTTACGGTCCGGCAACATGATCAGATAAATGTTGAGGGTCCAGAAATCTACGTCAGGCAAAAGATCGTACGTCGACCTTTCGGTGGCCCCTTCCGATTCGACTCGCATACAAATGCTCATTGCATCGCATATAAATATGTATAATACGGTAAGTGTACGATCGTAATTCGCGCGAATTCTTCAGAAACTCTGGCATTTGTGAAAGGCGCAGTGGAAGTACAGTTGTTTTCTTACATATCTACAGTAAACCCGCAATTTAATGGACTAAGGATGAGGAAGTTGTCAGTTAGAATTGATTGCTCATTAAAGTGCAAACAAACTCTTTCTTACGTATCTTTAAATGTACATATACTTTGCATTATTCAAATAGATAATCATATTGCGATAATCATGTTGTATCTATATATATATATATATCTTTGATTAAAATAATACAAATGCGAAATTAATCTTTGCAGAATTATTGCTTTTCATAAATCACGCACACACACACACACACACACAATAATTTTTTTATATTTTAAAGAATACTTTATAAAAATATTGTATATGAAATAACGATAAAACCATAAAAAATATTTCTAAAAAATGTTAAGAGAAAGTGAATATTGTAAAATTTCTTTATCTTTAAAAAATGTTTCTCAAAAATTATCATTAGTTAAAAATAATCTATTTTAAATATTAATTACAATATTTTTTGTGTTATTTTTTAAGCTTTATACATGCTATTTATAGATTGGACATCTTTGTAATTTTCTGTTGTTTATTATTCGGATGTCTGTAATAACAGATAAAGTTTCAATCGTCTAATATATAGATTTCATAAGTATATAGAATGATTAGGCAATAACGTTAGAAACCTAAGACTTTAATATATTGTATTTTTATATAATAAGCCATGCTAATCTTTTCTGTTATCGTAATTAAATTATCGAGTCCGACATATCGAAACGTCTTAATCGACACAACAAAAAATGTAATCACGCGTTGTTTGTATATGTTGCCCACATTGCTCAATTTACAATCTCACAGACAATCTTATGGCGTCGACTGATGATTATTTATCCGTCGCTGTTCCAATACGACAGATCTCAGACAATGCAATTTCAACGTACTTTATATCTATATAGAGTATATCGTTTATCGACCTGCTTCTAATCATCATTGTTACACAAACCGGATACACAAAAGTTGTTTTTACATCCATATAAGATAAGGAGGAAAGAAGAAGAAGATGATATAAATATAATCGTACATGGAAAAAAATTACCCACCAAATTTTAGCTGCCCCTATATTACAACTTGAAATTTAGTTATCATGCCTAAGTTTCAGCTATAATTTAATGGAGAATTTTATAACTAAAAAATATTAGCTTTCATAACTAAAATTTACGTATGATAATTAAATTTCATGTATAATATAGGGTCAGCTAAAATTTAGCTATAGTAGCTAATTTGTTTCCGTATATATACGAATCTCAATGATCAATGATACGATCATTATGCTAAGGAATCCGACAATAAGAAGACTTACATTTAAATATACCGTTTATCCGAGATTATTTTCCCCTCTTTTAATATAACACAGCGGATTCAGGCATCCGCAGCTTTTCTCCTGTTTAATAGGAATGTATAAAGATAGGCATATGCATTTCTCCAATTATAAATGCAGATGAATATAATAACGCGAAACAAATCGCCGTATTAATTAACATCGTCAAATTGCTGTTGTAACGGATTTGAACGTAATTTGCTAATTCTCTTAATTCTCGTATATATTACATTTTCAGGGCCGTCAACACGTTCGACGAAATTACACGTAGGTTTATATAATTATGTTGGAAGAAAAGAAATAATTAGACGCTATTAGTATCTACTAATTATATTACGTCGTAAAATCATTCTCCTAATTACTATATTTCTATGTAAATCTATTATCGTATAACTCTACGGTTTTTCTTGACAAAAATTGCTAATCTTAATTATATAAAGATACATACTAACAAAAAATATGCATTTTCATGAATAACGATACCAAATTTTGTTAAGCTTCATTAAGAAAACAATTTATGCAAAATGAAAAATCCTACTGTTAAAATTATTATTTGCTAAGTCTGAGACATAATGTACATAATCATTATTCACTAATGAGATTCTCACTAACAAAAGTGTCAGTCATCCGCGACCCCAACAGCATTGGACTCGTTAAAACGATGCAACGATGATGAATCATCGGTAGTTGTATGATTTCACAGTTGCAAAAAAAAAAAAAAAAAAAAAAAAAAGTATGCATTTTCTTATATGACTAAACATATTTATCCACTTATCTCTGATTTGCAATCCATTCAGTATAATTGCATAACTTATATATATATACTTGATATTTTATCCCACTATTGATATGCATGAATTTCAACATATTCTTATCTCTCATTCATATTACATGACACATACAATATATAATATGTTCTTTGACTTTAATATTCTTATCTGCTATATCTAAAAAATAATAACATTTCAATATTTAAATTTAATAATAATATTCTAATATTTTAATTTTTTTACTTTAATATTCTAATATTTCTAACATTTTAATTTAATTTTTATTTTAATTTAATTTTAATTTAATACTTTATTTTAATTTTTTCTAATATGTTAATTTTTTTACTTAACGCGAAATTTTTTTGAATTATATATCTCCGATTTTTTCTTCTGATGGTATAAAAATGCATTTACTTCAGGATTACCCTAAATCATATTGATAAGCGGTTTCGCGAATGTGCGATAATTGGGACGATTCGTCTTTCTCGCAGTACGCATAATTCAGATCATTAAGCCCATACGCGCATTTTTCACGCGCTGTGATTTAACGCGAGAGCAAGAACACGTCGTGGCGCGCAAGATTACCGAATTTGCGGGTATAATACACATCGTCGGAAAGATTCATGGCAGGCTCTCGAGGAGTAATGTCCAGTATGCGGGATTCACCGATGTTGCATTTATGCGAAGAATGCGTTATCCCTCCCCTTAGCGTGCACATGCATGCGTGTGTAGATACCCTCGATTGGAGAGAGAGAAAGAGAGACTCGCACGCCCACTCTTGCTTTTAATAAAGCCAAACCGGAATCGTAAAGCTGAATCTAAATTGCATAATTATACCGGTCTATTATGTCTCTCTCTCTCTCTCTCTCTTTCTTTTACTGCAAGTATCTTATACTTTTTCCCCTCTTTTTCTCGCTCCCTCTTCCCTCCTCTTTTTATTGCATTTTCTTGAACACTTGACCCTTTTCTATTTTTCCTTCGACTTCTAGTCGATTCCTTTTCTGTCGCGAGCAAATATCAAAAGAATAAATAACGATATGTATTACAGATCGATTAGCGCGAGTGCTCGCATTTTTTAAGATCTCAAATATCATTGCGATTAATTGATCAAAAATTATAATAAAGATAAATAATAATTTTTGCATAAACGTAAAGAATTTTGGAATGAAATTTAATAGCAATATTTTTGAAAGTGTCTTAATTATATCTTTTTCTTAATTAAATTAACTCGTTATGAACATATGCTCCGTTTAAAGATCAAGTTATAACAAAATGGAATAAAAGCACAATGATCGATGAACATAAGCGATCCAGCACTTTCGCTGGTTTTTTCAAGTGAATCTGGAATTCAACGAGATTACTGTTATTTTCTTGGTAAAAAAGATTCAGTCCAAGTATAACCGAGAAAGAAAAAGAAAGAAATAACTTAACGATGAAAACGAACGATGCGGCTCATTTGGTCTTCCGGTTGGCCGGAAATGACTCTCTTTGAGAGAGATTAATCTCTCAGAATTTACTTCTTCCCGACATGAGAGACATCGTCTCTTCCAATTATTCAGTCCAGTGATTTCGCTTGCACGAAACAGAGACTGGTATTCTTCCCAGCCAATATTTCGCAAGACTCTTATCGAAAAGACTTGCAAGATTCGCGCGTTTCACGGCAGGATAAGTTTGAAACAAAACTATATTGTTACAGCACACATCAAACTTATCTATCCGTCGCTGCTATTCAAAGTATCGCTTCTCATTGTTCGGTTGATACGTCGTTGCACTTTTTTTTCCATAATGTATCACGTTGATCGATACATCATATACATGATGTACGAGCGTAAATCACATACCTAGTCTATATGACACAGGATAATCAACTATAGTCGCAATGTAACAATCGCGCCGGCACGCGCGCTGACATCCGCGAAATATTTCTACGACTATATGTCTACACGCTATGTATGCAAATCGATCAAGTGGACTCGTTTATTGTTTCCTTGCTCGCGTGACAGA